AATATCTAGCATAAATTTAATGGAGAAACAGAGAAATAGTGGGGAAGTGTTAAGGGTGTAATGTCTGAAGCCCATCACATAGAGACTTGTTAGCAAAGGAGACAATTACACAGAAGAATTTTTATTTCTAGCTTTTCTGATTGGAATCTTCAATAATATTAATCATCAACTTCTTCCTCCCTTTCCCATCCATCTTGCAAAATATTTATTCCAGAAAGTCGAAGAAAACTGCAAAACTTGGTCAGGGACTGTTTTTTGACAGTGTGAAGTGTGCTGTACAAGAATTTACTTTGGCTGGATTACAATCAATCTAACTATCATGTGATCCATGATTGTGGATTACCACAGATCTGTGCAATCACACTAAAGATAGTACTGTAGAATCAGTTGTTTCTTAAATGTAAAACTTGTTTGCTTGGATTTACTCCTGTAAGGGATTTGTATAGTTGTATCTATCAAGGACAAAAAAATTGGACTGCTTGAATTGAGTTCATTAGATTGAATGTGGTCAGACTGAATGCCAGCTCTATCTTTTAGCTGACTTCTGCTGTCCTGTGCATTGCATTTTTGGTTTTTCTTTTCACTATGGTCCTTATTGGGTTGGCGTGAACATGTATGTCAAAGGAAGAGCTTGACATTAAAGAACTGACTGTATCTGGAAGGTATGATAAGACCATCAGTATTGAACATTATGGATGTTGATCCTTAAATGTATCTTGGCAGCCCAGAAAGTCTTTTGCATCCATTGAAGGGGAAGAAAAACCTACTAATCTTAACTATCACTTCAAAGGTTGAAAAGAGAGGCACTGACATCTTCTAGGAACTTAAGCTGAAAGAGGGCAAGCAACAAGTGTAAAGTTTTTTGTTTGCTTGTTTTGTAGGACTCTACTCCTGCCTCATGCTAACAGGAAAAAAGTAGTGTGAAATGCATCTAGGAAATACTATTAAACTGGCAATTTTTTTTTATTTTGAGAGTGCTAAAGGATATTTCAGTCTCTCTGGTGCTTGGAAGGGGGATTAGACAGGGAGTTGGTGAGGGAAAAAGTGAGTATTGGACATGCAGGTGTACATGCTTGAGAACAATTTTCAGGACTTAAATGTGCTAACTAGTGGACCCACTGCCCCCAGAAAGTTACATATCATAAGCAGAAGTTAAATGGACAGGTTTGGAGGTAGGAATGGTTTTAGCTTTCAGCTGTATTTATATAGGTTTGGGAATTAGAAAACAATTTAAAACTTAGGACAATTAAGCTGCCTCTGTGTCAGTATATATCTAGATAATGAAGCTGAGTTAAAGAGAGGTGAAAGTGAGTTGGAGCATTTTATGCATTAAGGTAGTGTTTTAACCAGCAACTAAAATAATCTGAGAAAGTGATGTTTTACATGGTATTATTCAGGATCCTTTTATAGTTGGAACTTTTGTAGCTACTGCAGGCAACAAAATGGCAAGGCCTTGACTTTGAAACATGTATCGCTTGTGTAACTCCCGTGGCTGCCCCTGTCCACTCTGTAACTTCTGCAATGACTGCCAGCAGCTGCTTTTCCCTCTGGTGGCTTCACTCTGACCATCATTTCTCAAGAAGTCAACTTGAAACACCTGTATGCACCTTACTTGTCTCTGCAGCTGGAGTTAAGTGTAGCATGGACTAAAACATGACCACAAATGCTTTCAGACATTTATTCCAGAATAATATTGTCTGTTTAGAAATACTGTTTGTGTCAAGTACTGAATCATACTTGCTTCTTTTTTGTTTTGGCATTGCTGCTGCTATGTTTCATACAGTAGCAAAGTGGTAGTGGTAGGTCTTGTGATTTGTGAGGGCTTTCAGCTTTTGGTAGGATGATAGTTGGAAGAAAAAAATTTAGGGGCTTTCATAGTCAAAGTGGCAGCTGGATTAACAACAATGTTTTCTGTTCTCTGTCTGTTATGTTCTTGTTTTAAAACTACAATCTCTTGTTTCTCAAAGTGAAGATGATATGTCTACAAATAAGCATATTTATTTTCCACTGTAGCAAAGATTAATTAAAGTATTTTATAATGCCAATCTTGACATCCCTTCTTAGTGTTAACTGGAGTCAGTCTGATGTCTATCAAAATGTAATGTGGATCATATTGTCTTGTTCTCTTCTGAGGCTTTGGCAACTGTTAAAAGATGCTGTTTCATACTGGTTGTAGGAACTCAAGTATCCTACTGCTTTTAGCAACTTAGAATTTCTGAGAATCATCAGACTGTAATCTTTTTCTAATACTTAGAATTAC